ATATATCTCGTACTATCATGATGTCCACTTTTGGTTTTAATACATTTATCCTCATGCCAGTTGTTTTTAGCTTCCATTGGACTTTTTGAATGAGAATGAATGATGTGGATGTTTGACCATTTACAATGACAAATGATCTGCAAACATTATTGGTCCCGTATCTTTCACTTTGCTAGTTAATAACGAATTAACTTTCCCCACGACGCAACCTGAATTACATTTGTGGAATATACTCTTATGCCAATGGAAAAGCATCAATTTGTAATACAACGTCACGATTGTAAATTATAACTTCTATCTGTAAAAATAGCTTTCTTATTACCCAATTTGGATATAAATCAAAAATGAGATTCGGATTTGTACACACCTAAGTTATATTGTGGAATTACTTCAAGCTTTATTTTTTCCCAAGTATTTGTAATCCATCCAAAACGTACTTGGGTTTTTTGTTAATGCAAAGACAATATTTCTATATTTCTTGATGTGCTCCATTGAATGACTAGTTGTATTGAGGAATAACTTCAAGCTTTATTTTTTCCCAAGTATTTCTAATCCGCGCTGTTTGAAAGGGAGTGCTTTTTCACGTATTTCACGTTTTTGACAAATCGCTGTTTTTTGTGTTATTCACTTCAAGAACATTTTTAAAAAAAACTTTAACTTGACTTTTGTCTGTTAAGTTTTGATTTTAACCACTTATATAGTCTATATTGGGTAAATTGTCTTGGCTGTTTCCAGTAGAAGTTCATTATGTCAAAAGTACCGCATAAATGTAATAGGGCGGAGTGTTGCTTTTTGGTAGATGATGGAATACGGTGTAATAACTGTGAAAAGTGGTATCATAAGATGTGTACTGGATTACATCCAGCTGCATACAAACGTTGTACTGCTCCAACATCCCACTGGATGTGCAGAATGTGTTGTTCCCCAAAGATGACCTTAATAAGGGAGGCTCACGAACTGCTGTCTAAAGCCATGGAACTTCCTGATGATAGCGTGGCTAGTAAGAGTGACACGGACTGCCCGTCTGAAGATGACGCAGTAAGTGCCATCATGAATGTTATCACACCGGCGGTTACTATCCCAGTTACCCCGGAAGTAAAACCTACTAGGCGTTCGAAGCGTCTTAGTAAGCGAAAAGGTAACAAAACGGAAGCTGTAAACAGCATCTCGGAACCAGAGAACACCGTAAGCGAAGTTCACCATGAAGGTGGTGCAGACACTGATTTTAATTGTACCATCAAAAACTGCAGCAGCCCTGAGAAGCAACTGCAGCAGCCTGAGAAGTAACTGCAGGCAGATGATAAGTGGGTAACAAAAATAAGCAGTCGGAAGAAATATAGTAATATTGATGGTAGGCAAACGTCTGTCACCTGTATTTATGTGCAGAGACTTTGTGGCTACTCGATGCCCACAACGTAAAACCAAAAGGCACGTCTGAAGGGTATGATCGTGTATTATAGCCGTAGTCAAATTTTGAAATTGTGTCAAGGTATTGTTCAATAGTAAATTGACAAATGTTTGCGAAGTACATACAAAATCGGTCTGTGCAAACATATAATACAAGTATACAAATTAGTTCAAAAAGCATGTTTACAGTTGGTATAGCGGGTACTACATAATTCCCCCACCAGAACATTGAAATGTAAAAGATGCATTTAAGTGTTCGAAAATAACAGGCGTCAGCGTAATACGTAGCAGTGATGGCACATAGAAGGCGATTTATTAAGCTGAAGAATGAGCAGCTTAAAGCAGTTAATAAAATCGCTAATAAATGTGATAATCTTGGAAAATTAAGATGGCTAATCGCAATAGAATATATAAGGAACGATCAAATTGGCCGAGGATCTGTAGTCTGTAGATGGGAACGATGCGTGAATAATGAGCGAGATGTGATTAAATGTAATAATAATAATCATTTATATTTTCATATAAACATATAATGCAGGAAATATCCATGTTAAAATAGTAGTGACGCGATTTATGAAAATATTAATCAGTTATTTGAGTAGTCAAATGACAATTACGACTGAAGGTAATCAAAATGAAAATTTGTAGTAAGTTGTATTTTTATGACTTGCTCGTAACGTTCAGGCCAATGGACTCGCCTACCAGATCGTGTTGTTTACGCGGGTTTCTCTGTCGACGTTGAGGCTTGTGTGGATGTAGGTATTGGCACGTCGTTCAGCTGGTCCCTATTGCTGACTTCGAAATCGTCGAGCAACGCTGGTTTGACTCTGTCGACACTGATGGCTTCTGCTTTATTCAGTCGTTCTGTCGTGATAACTTTAGCATCTCTGTTTAGAACTTTTAATGAGCCATCGAAAGCGGTTGAAGTGGTCGTTTTACACCTTCTCTCCTGACGAAGACGTGAGTGCAATCTGTCAGTTGTGACGGGATGTATGACGCTCGTTCCTGCTGACGTGGAAGTGGTATCTTGAGCTCGTTCATGTGCTGTTCTAGCTGGTGCACGTAACTAGTCATATCGTGTGGAACCTGGTTACCTGGGGCGAAAATTTCTCCTGGTAATCGTAATGTTCCATAGACTAGTTCGGAAACGCAGTAGCCAATATCTTTCTTTATAGCAGCTAGTATACGAAGTAGTACCAGAGGAAGTCTGGTTGGCCAGTCGTTTTGAGTCAAAGAAGCAGCGAGCGCAGCTTTGAGTTGTCGATGAAGTCGTTCGACCATACCGTTGGAACTAGGATGATACGCTGTCGTTCGTATTCGTTTAATGCCTAGTATTCAGTTAGCTGGTCAAAAAGTCGGCTTTCAAACTGGGAACCTCTGTCTGTAGTGGTAATGGATGGGACACCAAAGTTGGCTATCCAGTTTTCGACTAAAGCTTAAGCTACCGTTTCAGCGAAGACATCGATTAATGGAATTGCTACTGGCCAACGAGTAAATCTGTGAATACAAGTTAAAATATAGTTGAAACCATTGGAAGGAGGCAGTGGACCACCTATGTTATTATAATAATAATATTATAATAATGTATTTCATATAAATTTACAAATTTACATGAAAATGCATGCCTTTTTTTACAGGCACGATCAAGTGTGATATAATCTCAAATCGTAAATTGTTAATAATATTTCAACTGTTATATCTGAACCAGGCCGCATAGTTATTGAATTGTACAGTTGTCCTCCAGGTTTCGCGGGAAAATCGACTTCGTTTCGTTTTCATCCCGTGGTTGTAGGCATACGATAACCAACCAATATTGAGGTAAGTACAACGTGTACAAGGGATTGAAAGCTGTTTTAGAAAAATTAAAGTGCTAAGGTGGATCATTCCCTTTCAAACAGCGCGGATTAGAAATACTTGGGAAAAAATAAAGCTTGAAGTTATTCCTCAATACAACTAGTCATTCAATGGAGCACATCAAGAAATATAGAAATATTGTCTTTGCATTAACAAAAAACCCAAGTACGTTTTGGATGGATTACAAATACTTGGGAAAAAATAAAGCTTGAAGTAATTCCACAATATAACTTAGGTGTGTACAAATCCGAATCTCATTTTTGATTTATATCCAAATTGGGTAATAAGAAAGCTATTTTTACAGATAGAAGTTATAATTTACAATCGTGACGTTGTATTACAAATTGATGCTTTTCCATTGGCATAAGAGTATATTCCACAAATGTAATTCAGGTTGCGTCGTGGGGAAAGTTAATTCGTTATTAACTAGCAAAGTGAAAGATACGGGACCAATAATGTTTGCAGATCATTTGTCATTGTAAATGGTCAAACATCCACATCATTCATTCTCATTCAAAAAGTCCAATGGAAGCTAAAAACAACTGGCATGAGGATAAATGTATTAAAACCAAAAGTGGACATCATGATAGTACGAGATATATGCATAGCATTATACATTGCAAATGAACGTTGTCAGCCTAGGGAGTTTCCTTTATAAATGCATTTATTAATGATACTTGCACTTTAAATTTCATTTCAATTTAAAGTGCAAGTATCATTAATAAATGCATTTATAAAGGAAACTCCCTAGGCTGACAACGTTCATTTGCAATGTATAATGCTATGCATATATCTCGTACTATCATGATGTCCACTTTTGGTTTTAATACATTTATCCTCATGCCAGTTGTTTTTAGCTTCCATTGGACTTTTTGAATGAGAATGAATGATGTGGATGTTTGACCATTTACAATGACAAATGATCTGCAAACATTATTGGTCCCGTATCTTTCACTTTGCTAGTTAATAACGAATTAACTTTCCCCACGACGCAACCTGAATTACATTTGTGGAATATACTCTTATGCCAATGGAAAAGCATCAATTTGTAATACAACGTCACGATTGTAAATTATAACTTCTATCTGTAAAAATAGCTTTCTTATTACCCAATTTGGATATAAATCAAAAATGAGATTCGGATTTGTACACACCTAAGTTATATTGTGGAATTACTTCAAGCTTTATTTTTTCCCAAGTATTTGTAATCCATCCAAAACGTACTTGGGTTTTTTGTTAATGCAAAGACAATATTTCTATATTTCTTGATGTGCTCCATTGAATGACTAGTTGTATTGAGGAATAACTTCAAGCTTTATTTTTTCCCAAGTATTTCTAATCCGCGCTGTTTGAAAGGGAGTGCTTTTTCACGTATTTCACGTTTTTGACAAATCGCTGTTTTGTTGTGTTATTCACTTCAAGAACATTTAAAAAAAACTTTAACTTGACTTTTGTCTGTTAAGTTTTGATTTTAACCACTTATATAGTCTATATTGGGTAAATTGTCTTGGCTGTTTCCAGTAGAAGTTCATTATGTCAAAAGTACCGCATAAATGTAATAGGGCGGAGTGTTGCTTTTTGGTAGATGATGGAATACAGTGTAATAACTGTGAAAAGTGGTATCATAAGATGTGTACTGGATTACATCCAGCTGCATACAAACGTTGTACTGCTCCAACATCCCACTGGATGTGCAGAATGTGTTGTTCCCCAAAGATGACCTTAATAAGGGAGGCTCACGAACTGCTGTCTAAAGCCATGGAACTTCCTGATGATAGCGTGGCTAGTAAGAGTGACACGGACTGCCCGTCTGAAGATGACGCAGTAAGTGCCATCATGAATGTTATCACACCGGCGGTTACTATCCCAGTTACCCCGGAAGTAAAACCTACTAGGCGTTCGAAGCGTCTTAGTAAGCGAAAAGGTAACAAAACGGAAGCTGTAAACAGCATCTCGGAACCAGAGAACACCGTAAGCGAAGTTCACCATGAAGGTGGTGCAGACACTGATTTTAATTGTACCATCAAAAACTGCAGCAGCCCTGAGAAGCAACTGCAGGCAGGCAGATGATAAGTGGGTAACAAAAATAAGCAGTCGGAAGAAATATAGTAATATTGATGGTAGGCAAACGTCTGTCACCTGTAGCCAGGCTGCATCAATAGTGGTGAGAAAGGACGTAGCCACTGTTAAATACGACAAGCTCTCCTTAGACTCTAACATAATTGTTGGAAATTTGGAAGAGTCTAAAGAATCTGATCCCGTGAAAAGGCACGATCACGACCTTAAGTTAGTGAGTAGTATTATAAGGAAGATTCTCCCAGCGAATTTCCCTGGAGTATCGATTAAAAAGCTGATTAGAATAGGCAAAAGAGATAATGAATGTTCTAGTCAGCGTAGACTGCTTAAAGTAGTCTTAGGTTCTCCTGATGAACGGAATCATCTGCTGGCTAATGTACACAACCTTGCCGGGTCAGGAATTTCAGCCAGACCTGATTTATCTCTTGAAGACAGACTTAAACGAAAAGAAGTTTTGTCCCAGCTAGATACAAGACGTAAAAATGGTGAGACTAACCTTAAATTGGTGGGTTTTCAAATAGTCAGGTCTTGGAAACGTATGCTTCCAAGACCTGTGTGGATAAGCCAGACCGCATAGGAAGCCTGAAGGTAGTGTACACTAATATACGCAGTATCGGGAACAAATTTCACGAGCTAGGTGTATTAGTAGAAGACCTTAGCCCAGGTATTGTGGCCATTACTGAAACATGGCTGGTTTCTGGATTAGATGACACACCTGAGCTACGCGGATTTAGTTGCTTGCGCAGCGACAGGGTTAAGGGTCGTAGAGGTGGCGGGGTTGCTCTGTACATCAACAACTCCCTACATGTTCGTTCCGTGAAATCTGAAGCTCATGACAGTGGGACAGGTGAGGTAATTAGCTGTGAAGTAAGCTTTGCAACCGGCACTCTACTCATTGGAGTTCTGTATAGAAGTCCCTATTGTCAGTGTGATGACTTCATTTTAGATCACCTCAAACAATGGAGTAAACACAGTAGCTGTCTTATTCTAGGTGATTTTAATGCACCTCATATAGACTGGATAGCTGTCACATCTCCAGGATCCGCTGATAAGTTTGACAGCCGGTTACTCTTGACTACCATGGAAAATGCCCTGACACAACATGTCTTAGGTAGTACAAGATTCGGTTCTACCCGAGGATCTTCCTTGCTGGACTTAGTGCTTACTCATGACAACGACGACGTGGATGGTCTAGTTATTCATCCACCTCTAGCAAACAGTGATCATGGGGTGTTAGATTTTAACTTAAGGGCTGGCAATTTAGTCAGTTTTCAACCCAAATCCCGGCCTAGTGTTTGGCATGCTGACATAGTGACTATAAAGGAGCGTGCTTCAACTGCCGACTGGTCAGTCAACATTGTCTCATCCATTGAAGATGAATGGGATAGATTTAAGAATACACTTGAGGGGGTTACCACTGATCTCATCCCCTGGAGGGTTCCTAAAAGGCCAACAAATCGGCCACCATGGATAAATAGACAAGCTATAACACTCCTAAGACGGAGAAAAAGGTTCTGGAATCTCTTTGTTTCTACTGGGCTACAGCAGTTCCGGCTGAAATGTCTGTCTGTCTCTGTCTGGATTCAACATAGAACTTGGCACCGAAGTGCAGCAGTTCGAGTTGCCACGTTCCAATTGGCACACAAGGTAGACAAGAAGATGAGTGAAGAGAATCAATAGAGTTTGACAAATATAAGAGTGAAACAGAATGGGTAATTGTAGAAAGGAATATGAAAGATTACAGAGACTGAATACATCTGCGCCATTGACAACGATTTTGAGCCATGTCACCTATTGTCTCTAGCCATTGATTCCTAGAGTCCCGAGGGTCCCAACCCGGGAGTCTGCATCTCCCTACCTGACTCAGTTTAACTGTCAAGGATTTCATGGATTGATGAAACCATGTTTTTGTTTGGCCACCACTGGCTCTTTTCCAACCTTCACCTATGTCAGCTAGCAAAGCCCGTCGGCGTAGGCGGTGGTTAGGCATGCGCAGCACGTGACCTAGCCATCTTAGTCTATGTAACTTTATAGCCTCGTCGATTGATTTTCCCTCCGGCTGAAATACTGTGAAACTAGAAACCAGTGTAAAACTTTGATCCACCAGTCAAGGATAGCTTACGAAACCCAGTTAGTTAAAAGTTCACCAGGCTGCCCAAAAAGACTCTTCTCATATATCAAGAGAAGAACACGTAAGAGTAATGCTATCCCACCTCTTATGCGTGAAGATGACCAGACAAACATGGCTGAGGATAACTTGACCAAGGCTGAGGCTTTGTCCAAGCACTTTAGTCAAGTATTCTCTGATAATATTGATACCAGCTTTGTAAATTTTCCAAAAGGTAACATGAAAATGGCACCTTTATACATTTGAAAGGATACTGTCCTAAAGTGGCTTCTAAGGCTCAATCCTGGTAAGTCCAGTGGCCCTGATGAACTCCACCCACGTATATTAACAGCATTGGTTGAAAGCATAGCCGAGCCATTGTCGGTAATCTTCAATATGTCTCTGGACCAGTCTAAATGTCCAAGAGACTGGAAAGATGCCATCATTAGTCCGGTCTTCAAAACCGGATCTAGAAACTTAGTTCAGAACCATCGTCCTGTTAGTTTGACCAGTATTGTTGTCAAACTACTAGAAAGAATAATTCGTGATCCTATCATTCAGTTCATTGAAGGGAACAAACTTTTCGCTGTGGAACAGCACGGTTTTAGAGCAGGTCATTCTTGCTTGACCAACCTTCTTTTGGCCAGAGAAAGTTGGGCAAGCTCAGCTGATGCTAATATACCGGTGGATGCCATATTCATAGACCTTAGCAAGGCGTTTGACAGGGTTTCTCATTCAGGTCTTCTAGTAAAGTTAGGTAGTCTGGGAATCAATAAAGTGGTTACTGGCTGGATTCAAGACTTTCTAAAGGACAGAAGACAAAGAGTACGAGTTAACGGGGTTTTATCAACATGGGAATCGGTTAAGAGTGGCGTTCCTCAGGGTACAATTCTAGGCCCACTTCTTTTCCTGATTTATGTTAATGAGATTCCATCGGTAGTTAAGTCATCCTGCTTACTGTTTGCTGATGACATCAAGATATACAGTTTACAGTTTACAATTTATTTAGGATAGTAGGCTATATGCCTGTGTTAATCCTTTCGATTTATTGCACATTGGTTGGTGCTAGAAGGAAGAAATAAAGTAGTCTTCCAAAAGGTGTACGAATCAGACTTCTTCAAACTGCAGAAGCAATGGCGATTCACTTGCTAAGCCCTGAACTCTGCATACAGAAGAGGTTCGTTCAATCACTAAACTTACAATGGACTTAACCTACATTATTACCTGAAAGGTAAATTCTACCTAATTTTTTTTACTGTCTCTTCATTGGTATTATTCTGTCTTCTCAATTGTAATATTTTGCATTTTCAACTTTCTTGTCTCTACCCCTACCCGATTTAATTTCTACACCTCACTACCACTTTAATTGACCTGACCAACGCTCAATTTATAGTCATTTATGTTACGTCATCCAACTTAATTGCTCAATTTCATTTCTAATCTAAATGGCATTATTATCTACCCCACTTCTACTTAGTCTCTACCTGTAATTACCTCTGTTGCTAACCTGACCTAAGTTAAAACATTTTAGTCAATTGTATTACGTCATCTAACTTACTAACTCAATCTTAATTTAGTTGCTGTCCAATTAACTTTGTTTCTATATTAGATCATTCTTTTATTACCTGATCAATTATCTAATTTTGACAAACCTCATGTACACACACACACTCAAATAATTATATATAAATGCGATTGTACAGCTATGTGAATGAATTCGCCGAAAAGAGTCTCTTCGCTGAACGTCTTCTCTTTTTCATATGACTAAATGGGGATTTTCAAGAAATAATTTAGGTAAATTAGCTCCAAAATCATTTCTTAGGATACGGTGTGCTAGTATTAGGTCACCCCTAAGTCGTCTGTATGACAGTGGAAATAAACCCAGTCGACTTAACCTCTCCTCATATGACAGGGTTGAGAAGCCCTTTATTAGCTTAGTTCCTACTCTTTGCACCCTTTCTAGTAAGTCTATTTCGTATTTGAAACACGGGCTCGCTGCCTGGATCCCATATTCCAAATGACGTCTAATATAAGTCGGATATAATATACAAAATATATCAGCGTCAAAGTTCGCAAAAGCCTTGCGTATGGCCCATAACATTCGAAAACCCTTGGTGGCTGCAGTTCTACAGTTTGTTGCTGTTTTCAAGTCATGCTGCACAACCACTCCCAAGTCCTTGTACTCTGTCTGTCTGTCTGTTTTCGACATAGAACTTTGCACAAATGTGCGGAAGTTCAAGTCGCCACATTCCGTGTAGCACGCGAAGCAAGAGAAGAAAGTACAAGAAAAGCATAATAGAAACAGTGAGCAGAGGTGTGAGACAAAGGAGTAATAAAGATATACAAAACAGTTTCATTGAAGATCATAAGTCACAGGGAGTGGATGCATCTGCGCCACTGAGAACGGTTTTGAGCCATGTCACCAATTGTTTCCAACCATAGATTTTTACCGTCCCGAGGACCCCAGCCTGGAAGTCTACACCTTTCTACGTGGCTTAGACCAACTGTTGTGGATTTCATTGACTGATGCCAAGTTTTTGTTTGACCGCCGCTAGCTTTTTTCCAGTCTGACCCTATATCCGCTAGCATTGCTCGTCGAGGGAGGCGATGGCTTGGCATACGTAACACATGTCCTAACCATCTCAGTCTTTGTAGCTTCACGACTTCGTCGATTGATTTCCCCTGTTTACCTAGAACTCGACGCCTAACTTCAATGTTGCTCACCTTATTATGCCACTTTATACGGGAAATAGAACGCAGGCACCTGTGATCAAAGACAGCTAATCTTTTCATGTCTTCCACTCTGAGTGGCCAGGTTTCACAACCATAAAGGAGGACGGAGCGGACTGATGAGCAGTACACCCGCCCTTTGGTCGATAGTCGAACATCTCGTCTACGCCAGAGTCGGCGTAAACTAACAAATGCGAAACGAGCCCCTTGTATTCGTGCTGAGATTTCGTCAGAGATCAGCCCGTTGGGGCTGATGGTACTTCCCAAATAAGTGAAGCGGTCAACGTGCTCTACCACTTCACTTCCTATTTTTAAACTAGGCGTCGATGTAGTCCAGTCCTGTAACATCATCTTGCATTTGGCGGGAGCGAATCGCATGCCAAACATTCGTAGATTGCGGCTCAAGGTGTTTAGAAGACTCTGCCTTTCGTCAGCGTCTTCGCCTAGAAGGACTATATCGTCTGCATATTCCAAGTCAACGAGATTATTCCCCGGTAGCAAGTCAATTCCTGAGTCACTGAAGTCGCCTAGGGTTAAGTCCATTAACACATCTATGATGAAGTTGAATAGAAAAGGAGATAATAGGCATCCTTGACGGACACCACTGGTCGTCACCACTTCAGATGACAGCTCGCCGTAAGCCCTCACCTGGCTGTATGAGTACGAATAGAGTGCCTTAATCAGTGCAA